ACTCCTTGATGGCACTGCCACGGTGGGAGGACTATCTGCATGCATTTTCACTGCTCCACCCCAGCGTCAGGCGAAGGGATGCGCGCGGCTGACGACGGATCCGCAGTGATAGGGGAGTTGCTGCCCGGGGAGCCGGGGCGGGTGTCGATTGTAGACGAGACGGGCTCTGAAGTCCCGGCAGCCAAGGGCGGCTGGGACCATTACCGGTAGGCTATGACGTTCAGCACCCGCATCCTGAGCAACGGCCCGGAGCAAACGTCGGCGATATCTGGACGTCCACATCGGCAGAGGGGATCTGCCCGTGCGGGTGATGTTTTCCTGCTGGTTGGTCCTTTGGGAGCCGCCAAGACCTGCCTCACTCAAGGTATCGCCGAAGGTCTCGGAGTGTCCGGTTATGTCAGGAGTCCAACCTTCGTTTTGACGACCCAATACGAAGGGAGGTTGCGATTGTTCCACTTGGACCTGTACCGCATCGACGCGCCGCTAGAAGCTTGGGACCTGGGGTTGGACGAGGCAGCTTTTCGGCGAAGATGTCTGTGTGGTGGAGTGGGCCGACCGGGCGCCGGACATATTCCCGGAGGAGTCCCTTTGGGTATCCTTGGACCATGTTGGCAGGGGCGACGATCGGATGTTGGAATTCAGCGATTGGCCCGACCGTTTCGAACCGGTCTTGAGCCACGTGGCCGACGGTCGGTCAATATCCAAATCCGAATCCGACGCTGTGACGGAGACCGAGTCTTAGTACTACAGCCGCAGATGGTCGCTTGGAGTGTTAGGCGGTCTTGAAAATCGTAACGTCTAGCTACGGCCAACGTCTTTGCTCTCAATGAAACTAAGCTTATTTGAGGCCGAAAGCACCGAGTCAGTGTTAGTGCGACTGTAGTATTAGAGCCTGTTGACGATCTTTGGAATACGTTAAGTTGAGACTATTACCAAGGGAGGGGTAAGCATGTCTCATTCCTATCCCAGCGACATCAGCCGGGAGCAATTCGCCCGGATTTGCGACGCTGGAGTCGGTCCGGCGCCGGACCAAGCCCGCACCGTGGACCTGTACGACGTTTTCTGCGGGGTGTTGTACCTCCTGAAAAGCGGCTGCCAGTGGCGCATGCTGCCTGCGGACTTCCCCGATTGGCGCACCTGCTACAAGTATTTTCGGCAATGGAGCGAGCGGCCCGGCCCGGATGAGGATTCCATTCTGGAGCAGGTCTTAAAAAAAATTGGTTGGCGAGGCCCGGCAAAGCATGGACGGAAAGAGCGGACCAGCTTCTGTATCGTGGACTCCCAGAGCGTGAAGAACACTGACAGCGCCGGGAACAAGGGCTATGACGCGGGCAAGAAGGTGTCCGGAATCAAGCGCCACATCGCGGTGGACACGCAGGGGTTGCCCCACGCGATCCACCTAACCACGGCCAACGTGACCGACCGGGCCGGGGCCTTGGCGATGTTTGACCGGCACCGGGATGGCCTCAACCAGGTGCAGAACGTGCTGGTGGATGGGGGCTACACCGGGAAGCCCTTTGCTGCTGGGGTGCGAAGCCTGTTGGGAGCCGCGGTGGAAGTGGTGAAACGCAACGAACTGCACACCTTCGTGGTGCTGCCGAAGAGATGGGTGGTGGAGCGGTCTTTCGCTTGGCTGGAGAAGTGCCGCCGGCTCTGGAAGAACTGCGAACGAAAGCTCAATACCAGCCTGCAAATGGTGGTTCTCGCCTTCGCAACGCTAATCCTGAAGAGATTGTAAACAGGTTCTTAGATGCTTCTAGCCATCGACACTTCTACTCGTTATGCCGGAATTGCCCTCGCAGATGAAAGCAGGGTCGTGTCCGTTCGGGCTTGGTACTCGGTAGTGAACCACAGCCGGGAGCTTATGCCGGCGGTCGGCCAAGCCTTGAAAGAGCGCGACGTTGCTGTGTCCCAACTGGACGCCGTGGCGGTGGCCTTGGGGCCCGGCGGGTTCAGCGCGCTGCGGGTGGGCTTGAGCGCGGCCAAAGGGCTGGCCTTGATTGGTGGCCTGCCAATTGTCGGCGTGGTAAGCACCCTGGACTTGGAGGCGTTTCCGTATCGGGGTACCGGATTGGAGGTTTGCGCACTGTTGGACGCCGGCAGGGGTGAAGTGGCATCGGCCTTATTTGGGCCGGACGGGAAGCGCATCCGCGACGATATCATCAGCGCCCCGGAGGACATATTGGATGACGTTAAGGAGCCGACGGTGTTCTGCGGGGAGGTGCACCCGTGAGAGCAGGGAAAGAGGAAGAAAGAGTTGACAAGGACCGGTGGGGATAAAAAATAAAGGCGTCGTTGTTGATGGTGGAACCGTCGCCGGCTACGCGGCTTGGTTCCTTGGCTGTTTTGGCGCGGAGGCGACTTGATGCCGGTGACTCGGACGACCTGGGTGGACTACAACCCTATTATCTTCGGATGCCCAGCATCGGCGTTCGGAAACAACGAGACCGGACACCGCAAGGGTCTTCGCGACCCACGAGCAACTCTAGCGTTTGATGGAAGGTGTGAATGGAACGGACATTGGTGCTGGTAAAGCCGGACGGGGTGCAACGGGGCATGGTGGGGGAGATTATATCGAGACTAGAACGACGGGGAATAAAGCTGGTGGCGCTGAAGATGATGCTGGTGGACCAGGCGCTGGCGCACCGGCATTATGGCGAACACGAAGGCAAGCCATTCTTCCAAGGATTGGTAGACTTTATTACTTCTTCCCCGCTGGTTGCGATGATATGGGAAGCCGACGACGTGGTTGAGATTGTTCGCGGCACCATGGGGCAGACCAACCCCAAGAACGCGGCGCCGGGAACCATCCGGGGCGATTTGGGGGTAAACATCGGGCGGAACCTGGTACACGGCTCGGACAGCCCGGAGTCAGCCCAGCGAGAGGTGGCGTTGTTCTTCAAGGAAGGCGAGATATTGGACTACAACAGGAACAACGACCCTTGGATTACAGAACCCTGACCACTTGGGGGGCGCGGAACCACAGGTTTTCCAGCCGGTAGAACTCGCGTTGCTCAGAGCCCAGGATATGGATCACGACGTCGCTGAAGTCCAACAACACCCAGCCTGACTCGGCGGTGCCTTCCCGGTGAAATGGGCGGACCTTGGCCTCTCTGAGGGCCCGGCTGATGTCCTCTTCCAACGCTTCGATCTGTCTGGAAGAGTCAGCGGACATGATGACGAAATAGTCGCGAAGTAAGCCACCGGGCGAAGATCCAACATTACGATGTCTTCGGCCAGCTTGTCCGAGGCCAAGTCAACCACAAACTGGGCTATTTCCGTCGAATTCAGTCTGTCAACTCCCTATAATGATTATTAAAGCTGTATATTCAGTATAGTGCCTTGGCTTGGTTGTGGTCAACGACGAGAACCGTTCCGGTCAGGGCTTTTTCATTTTCCGGATTGGGTTAAATGGGTCTCGTCTCTCCCGCGAAAGCGGGAACCTACACGACCGTGGCCTATAGCAACCTTCTCCTGGCAGGACCATATGGATTCCCGCCTGCGCGGGAAAGACGAGATAATGAAAAGGCCCTGCGCCGCCTCGTAAAAGTTTGTGTACGTCGAATATTGTGATATATTTAACAAATTAATCGGGCCTGCTTAGACAGGAGGGTTTTCCTATTTTCCGAATCGCCGGGATATAGGCAGATCTCTAATGGTCAAGCCCTATTCCGGTTTCAATCTGGCGATCAAGGTATCGTTGCATGAATCCGCTAAAAGACTTGGCCCGATGGGGACTTTATTCACCGGAAACGGAACACGATAGTTGCGGCGTAGGCGTTGTCGCCAATATAAAGGGCCAAAAGTCTCACCGGATCATCGAAGAGGGGTTCGAGGTCTTGATCAACCTCGGACACCGGGGCGCTTGCGGGCGCGACCCAGAGACCGGGGACGGCGCTGGGATTCTGATACAGACGCCTCATGAGTTTTTCCGGCGCGAATGCCGTGCGCTGGGCTTGGAGCTTCCTCCGGAGGGCGAATACGGCGTGGGCATGGTGTTCATGCTTCCCCAGGCGGCCGCGAAGCAAAAGGTGCATGACCATATCTCCCGGATTATCCAAGACGAAGGGTTGGAGTTGCTCGGCTGGCGCGACGTTCCGTTGGATGAATCCAAGGTAGGCCGCGACGCCCGTGCCGTACGCCCGCACATAGCGCAGGTGTTCATCAGGCGCGGCTCCCATGACATGGACGCTGCCCAACTGGAGCGAAAGCTGTACGTAGTCCGCAAGGTCATCGAGCATACGTTAAAGGAATGCCAACTTACGGAAGAAGAGGCCGATTACTTTTACGTTTGCAGCATGTCCTGCAACACGGTGGTGTACAAGGGCCTGTTAATGGCCCACCAGATCGCCGATTTTTATCTGGACCTGAGCGATGAAGCCGTCGAATCGGCGTTTGCATTGGTACACTCCAGGTTCAGCACCAACACCCTGGGGCATTGGCGGCTGGCCCATCCGTACCGGTACCTGGCCCACAACGGGGAGATAAATACCCTTCGCGGCAACCTTACTTGGATGCGTGCGCGGGAGGCCCAGTTACTTATGTCTGCTGCGTTACGCAAAGTGTTCGGTTCTAGTGACATGCTGAGACAGATACCGCCGATTATGACGCCGGGTGACAGCGACACTGCGAGTTTCGACAACGCTCTGGAACTCCTGTTGATGACCGGGCGCGACCTGGACCACGCTATGCTCATGTTGATACATGAGGCGTGGAACCAGCACGAGACGATGCCGCAGGAGAAAAAGGACTTCTACGAGTATCACTCGGCGTTGATGGAGCCTTGGGACGGCCCGGCGATGATTGTTTCCTCCAACGGACGCAGCATCTGCGCGCTGTTGGACCGCAACGGCCTGCGGCCTTTCAGGTACTTGGTGACCAAGGACGACAAGCTGGTCATGGCTTCTGAGACCGGCGTCCTGGACGTCCCGCCGGAGGACGTCAGGTTCAAAGGCCGGCTTCAACCAGGGCGCATGTTCCTGGTGAGTTTGGACGAGGGCCGCAATCCGCATCATCGGCGACGAAGAACTGAAGAACACCCTCGCCTCACGGCAACCATACGGAGAGTGGCTGTCGGAAAACAAAGCCAGCTTGGACGATGTTTCTTCATCTCAGACAGTCGACCCAATCCCGGCGGAAGAACTTAACCGGTTGCAACAGGCCTTCGGCTATAGCGTGGAAGAGCTGCGGTTATTGACTACTCCCATGGCGGAGAACGGGTACGAAGCCGTTGGATCCATGGGGAACGACGCCCCGTTAGCTGTGCTATCGGACCAGAACCAGTTGCTTTTCAATTACTTCAAACAACTGTTCGCGCAGGTCACGAATCCGCCGCTGGATGCCATAAGGGAAGAGTTGGTTACTTCCTTGGTGACGTTTATAGGCAGTGAACAGAACTTGTTCGATGAGACCCCGCTCCATTGCCGGCAGTTGAGACTGGAATCTCCGATAATCGACGACGTTGACCTGTCCAAAATCAAAGGGTTGGATCAAGACGGGCTTCGGAGCGTGACACTGCCGATGCTGTTCGACCCTCATGGCGGCGATGATTCCTTGAGGGACTCCATTGAGACCCTGCGGAAGCAAGCATCCGATGCTATAGCCGACGGTTGCTCCATAATAGTGCTCTCGGATCGGGGCGTCGGCCCCAACGATGTGCCGATCCCCAGCCTGCTGGCGACCGGCGCGGTGCATCATCACCTCATCCGGGAGGGCACCCGCACCAAGGTGGGTCTGGTCGTCGAGACAGGGGAGGCCAGGGAGGTACACCACTTCGCGTTACTGATCGGATACGGCGCGGGCGCAATCAATCCTTACTTGGCCCTCGAGACCGTGCGAACAATGGTCCAAACGGGTCAGTTGAATGGCCACACGGCGGACTACGCGGTAAAGAATTTCGTAAAGGCCAACGAGAAAGGCGTCCTGAAGGTTATGTCCAAAATGGGCATATCGGCGGTGCAGAGCTACCGGGGTGCGCAGATTTTTGAGGCTGTGGGTCTTAACCAGGACCTGATCGACGACTATTTCTCTTCGACCCCCTCGAGGGTGGGGGGTATCGGGCTGGATGCCATTGGGCGTGAAACTCTTCAACGGCATCGCTCGGCTTTCGAACTGGCCGACGTACCGGCAAACCGGGACCTGCCCATGGGCGGGTCCTACCAGTGGCGCAGGGGAGAGGAGCACCATCAGTGGAACCCTGACACTATCGCCAAGCTGCAACATGCCGCCCGGGCCAACAACTGGCAGGTATATCAGGAGTTCGCCAAACTCAGCAACGACCAAAGCCGTAAAATCGCCACACTGCGCGGCCTTCTGCAGTTCAAACAGGACAGGGCGCCGGTGCCATTGGACGAAGTGGAACCGACATCGGAGATCATGAAACGGTTTGCCACCGGGGCTGCCTCGCTGGGGTCCATCAGCCGTGAAGCCCATGAGACCATGGCTATCGCCATGAACCGCATAGGCGCGCGAAGCAACACGGGCGAGGGAGGCGAGGACTACCACAGGTATAAGCTGGACGACAACGGCGACGACCGCAGCAGCGCCATCAAGCAGGTGGCGTCTGGGCGGTTCGGAGTTACCCCCAACTACTTGATTAACGCGACCGACCTGCAAATCAAGATGGCCCAAGGGTCGAAGCCCGGCGAGGGTGGGCAATTGCCTGGGCACAAGGTTGACGAGTACATCGGGTGGGTGCGCCGCACCACTCCCGGTGTGGAGTTAATCTCGCCTCCGCCTCATCACGACATATATTCCATTGAGGACCTTGCCCAACTGATACATGATTTAAAGAACATCAACCCCGACGCCCGCGTCCACGTGAAGCTGGTGGCGGAAGTGGGGGTTGGAACCGTGGCGGCCGGCGTAGCCAAGGGCCACGGAGACGTGGTGCTGATAAGCGGGCACGACGGCGGCACCGGCGCTTCGCCCGAGTCGTCAATCAAATACGCCGGCCTGCCTTGGGAGCTGGGAATCGCCGAAACTCAACAGGTGCTGGTAGCTAACGGGCTGCGCAGCCGCATCGTTGTGCAGACCGACGGGCAATTGAAGACCGGCCGGGACGCAGCGATAGCGGCCATCCTGGGCGCTGAGGAGTTGGGGTTTGCCACGTCGGCGTTGGTGGTCAGCGGCTGCATCATGTTGCGCAAGTGCCACATGAACACGTGTTCGGTGGGCATTGCGACCCAGGACCCCGAGCTGCGCAAGAAGTTCGCCGGAGAGCCCGAGCACCTGGTCAACTACTTTACATTCGTGGCTGAAGAAATGCGGGAGATCATGGCCCAACTGGGCTTCCGCACGGTGAATGAAATGATTGGCCGGGTAGACGTTCTGGACGCTCACAGGGCCATCGAACATTGGAAGGCCCAAGGGCTGGACTTATCTCGAATGCTTTATCGCCAGGAGCCGACTACTCCGGGCGAGAACGTTTATTGCAGTGAAGGCCAGGACCACGGGCTTGAACACGCCCTGGACCACCAGTTGATCGCGCTGTCGGAGCCGGCCTTGGAGCGCCGGGAGCCGGTGGAGATCAAATTGCCCATACGCAACTCCAACAGGACCGTGGGCGCAATGCTCAGCGGCAAAATTGCCAAGGCGTACGGAGAGGACGGCCTGCCGGGCGATTCAATCAGGATCAACTTCTCCGGGTCTGCCGGGCAGAGCTTCGGCGCCTTCCTGGCCAAGGGAGTCAGCATACACTTGGATGGGGACACCAACGACTACATGGGCAAAGGAATGTCCGGTGGCCGGATAGTTGTTTGCCCGGACCCCAAGGCTACCTTTGTTCCGGAAGAAAACATTATCATCGGCAACGTGGCCATGTACGGGGCTACGGGCGGCAAGGCCTTTATCAAGGGCATGGCCGGAGAACGTTTTTGCGTCCGCAACAGCGGCGTACACGCGGTGGTTGAAGGAGTGGGCGACCACGGGTGCGAGTATATGACTGGCGGCGTAGTGGTGGTCCTGGGACAGACCGGCCGGAACTTCGCCGCGGGAATGAGCGGCGGAATAGCCTTCGTTTACGACAGGGATGGCGATTTTTCCATCAGGTTCAACGACGGTATAGCTGACTTGGAGCCGGTCCAAGACCCTGAAGACATCGCTACCTTGAAGAGCCTGATCGAAGAACACGCCGAGCATACCGGCAGTATGCCGGCCCGAAAGGTCTTGGAAGACTGGAGCAAGGCGCTGCCTCTGTTCAAGAAAATAATGCCGAGGGACTACCGCAGGGTGCTGGAGGAGCAGAAGAACAGGGAGACCGAGAGCGCTGCTCTGGCGGCTTCGGGCGGCAATTAGGAGAGTTCCGCAGGAATTGCCATAACCAAGTAATTGGATATACTGGTATGGCTCCAATACATGCAGCATAGAATGGCCTCACGGTGACCACCACCAAGCTGGTTACAGCCGATGAGCTCCTGCGTATGCCGGATGATGGATACCGATACGAGCTTTTCGAGGGACACCTCGTCAAAATGACTCCCGCCGGATATACGCACGACCTCTACGATATGCGAGTTGGGTCAAGGCTAGCTGTACACGTCGGCCAACACGGCTTGGGCCAAGTGACGACGGCAGAGACCGGGTCTCGCTCGGCGACTGATCCGGACACCGAGCGGACCCCCGACGCGGCCTTTGTGTCTCAAGCACGAATCGATGCAGCCGGAGAAGAGCAAGGTTACTGGACCGCCGCCCCGGACTTGGCCGTTGAAGTAGCATCGCCGAACGATACGTATACGGCGGTGGCCAGCAAGGCGATGGACTGGCTCGATTCCGGCTCAAGGGCTGTCATGGTCGTGGACCCGCGTCGGGAATCCGTCACCGTGTCCGGTTCGAGATCGGATATTGTCATTTTGACGGGTGATGAAGTCCTTGAAATTCAGGACGCGGTCCCAGGCTGGACTCTGCCTCTGCGCGAGTTGTTTGGGTAGACCACGGGTGAGACGGACGCCTTACTCAAGGGCACGGCGTCATTGCTGTGCAACAGAATTAATGAGAGGAAACAGGAAGTAACCGAGTATGGGTAAACCCACCGGGTTTATGGAATGGGGGCGCCAGCCCCCGGAACGCCGGCCAGTGAGAGACCGCGTCGGCGATTACCGGGAACTCTACCAGCGTTGGCCCGAAGCCGCGGCCAAGGAGCAGGGTTCGCGGTGCATGGACTGCGCCGTGCCCTTTTGCCACACGGGTTGCCCGTTAGGCAACGTGATTCCCGAGTTCAACCACTACGTGTACTTGGGTGATTGGGAAGGCGCTTTACGCACCCTTCTTTCCACCAATAATTTCCCGGAGTTCACCGGCAGGATCTGCCCCGCACCCTGCGAGGCAAGTTGCGTCCTCAGCATCAACTCTGACCCGGTGACAATCGAATACATCGAAAAAGAAATCGCGGACCGCGGGTTCGAGCAAGGCTGGATAAAGGCCGAGCCTCCCAGCAAACGAACGGGAAAACGTGTAGCCGTGGTTGGATCAGGGCCCGCCGGCTTGGCGGTGGCACAGCAGATTAACCGTGCCGGCCACCAAGTGACGGTGCTGGAACGGGCTCACTCCATTGGAGGCCTGTTGGCCTTGGGCATTCCCGACTTCAAGCTGGACAAGGAAGTCTTAAAGCGCCGCTTGGACCTGATGGAGGAGGAAGGGATAGTCTTTCAGACGGGAGTCGACGTGGGCGTCAACTACACCGTAGAACGGCTTTTGAATGAGTACGACGCCGTTTGTCTGGCTTGCGGCTCAACCCAGGCCCGGGAGCTTGACGTGCCCGGAAGGGACCTGGAAGGCGTGCATCTGGCCATGGAGTACCTTACCCAACAGAACAAGGCTATTTCAGGCGAGGAAGCTGCGCTAGACGACCGTCTAACCGCCGAAGGGAAGCGCGTGGTGATTCTCGGCGGCGGCGACACCGGCGCCGACTGCCTGGGCACCGCCCACCGGCAGGGGGCCGAGATAGTCCACCAGTACGAGTTGCTGGCTGAGCCTCCTGATGAACGTCCCGTGGACAACCCGTGGCCCCAGTGGCCTATGGTGTTGCGCTCTTCTCCAGCTCACGAAGAAGGCGGTGTTCGGGACTACGGCATCCTGACCAAGTCGTTCTCGGGCAGCGAAGGCAAGCTGGAGAGGCTGCACGCGGTGCGGGTGGAGTGGAAGCAGCCGGAAAACGGGGGCCGGCCCGCCATGACCGAGGTGGCAGGCAGCGACTTCGTAGTTGAAACGGAGTTGGTGCTGTTGGCTATGGGGTTCCTGCACCCGGAACACGACGGCATGTTGACCCAGTTGGGTGTGGAACTGGACGGCCGCGGCAACGTCAAAGTTGATGCCAACCGTATGAGCAGCGTGCCGGGGGTGTTTGCCGCCGGAGATGCCGCGAGAGGGCAATCGCTGGTTGTGTGGGCCATTGCCGAGGGTCGGGAAACGGCTCGGGAAATCGACCTGTACCTGATGGGAGAAACCAACCTGCCTCGTTCTCTTTCCGACTAACGTCAGTCAGGCGCTGTATTCGCCCCCGCACACCTCTACCTGCTTACCGCCTCCACATCGTCGGTGGCCGTTGAACGGGACAGGAACTCTTTAACGTCCAATACCTGTATGGTATTGGTTGTGCCGGAGACTCCTGGTAAGAATCCATGGACGATAGTCACCACGTCCTCGGCTTCCACCATACCCGCCTCCAGTGAAGCGTTAATCAACTTGCTTACCAGTTTACTTACGTCCGCTTCCGGAGGTATGACCCCAACCGGGGACAGTCCCCACCCCAAGCACAGTCTTCGCAAAACGGCTTCATCATGGGAAAAGACGATGACCTGATTTTCCGGACGGAACCTGGAAATTTCCAAGGCGGCCCGGCCGGTGCTGGTGATAACTATGGGCTTTGCCTTGAGGGACTGGACCAACTTCCCTGCTGCCAACGCTATGGCTTGAGTACGGTCTCTGGACGTGTGGTCTTGGTGGTAAGGGTACATTGTCTCCGCCGCCCGTATGGTGGTCTCGGCGACTCTCACGGTTTCCACAGGGAAATGGCCCCACGGCGGTCTCGTCCGACAGCAGGATAGAGTCGCAACCATCCAATACCGCGTTGGTGATGTCGGATACTTCCGCTCTTGTCGGAATGGGCGCATCCACCATGGAACGGAGCATCTGGGTGGCGATTATGGAGACCTTGGCAGCTTCATTGGCTTTTTTTACCAAAGACTTCTGGACAATGGGAACCTGTTCCATTGGAATTTCGACCCCGAGATCGCCCCTGGCCACCATTACTCCGTCGACTTCCTGGAGAATGGAGTCGATATTTTCGATTCCCTCTGCCCGCTCCAACTTGGCCATGACCAATGCTTGGCTGCCAATGCTGTCCAAGTAGCTCTTGGCATACCTGATGTCGTCTGCCGTGCGCACGAATGACACGGCTACCCAGTCAACTCCCAGGTCCACCCCGTAACGAAGGGCCTCTTTGTCCGCGTCGGTCAACACGGGTTGGTCAATGTGGATTCCCGGCAGGTTTACACCCTTGAAAGAGGACAGCCGGCCGGACGAGTTGATGACCCGAAGCTTCACCGACCCATCACCAACCTCCACGACCTCCAGCGACACTGTACCGTCTGAGACAAATACCCTGTGGCCGGGCCTGAGACTGGCGAGTACACCGGCTTGAGGAAAGGGCAACACGTTGGGTTTGTCGGAGGAGGCGTCGGGCACCATGGTCACCATTTCACCTGGAGGGAGCAAGACGGAGCCCTCCATTTCGCCCAGTCTCAGCTTGATGCCGCCAAGGTCCTGGAGGATGGCCACCGGCCGATGCCGCTTGGCGGACAATTCCCGCAACGTCCTGATCACTTCGCCGTGCTCTTCCAATGTGCCGTGGGAGAAATTGAGCCGGGCACAGTCCATGCCCGCCTCCAATAATTGGTCTAACGTATCTCTATCGTGGGTAGAAGGGCCGATAGTTACGATGATTTTAGTTTTGCGCATGGAAGCCCACCTCGAGCCGGATTCTGGAAGAGTTCCCCGTCAGCAACACCTTCTTCACCGGTAAATATCACCCGCGTTGAAGGTTCACCCCACTGCGAATGGCCTACGTATGTCCGGTTATGATACCAGATTAATGCCGTGGGAGATGCGACGGTTTCCGTCGTCATACCCAATTACAACAAACAAACACCACCGTGTAAACGTCGGTGGTGTTTGTTGGCGTTGGAGGCAGCCAGCAGCAACATTGCGGCTACCAAATTGGCCAAATAGCGGCGTGTGTCTCGTAGTCCTTGCCCTCTACAGGTATCCTGGTACGGGATATCTAAGCTTGTCTCGACGCATCGTAGACATCGGTGGCCCGCTGGATAGATGCCTTGCGGAAAGCTTGCAGGTCTTCCTTGATGTTGCTCACCCAACGCTGGGAGTTCTGGATGCCGACCAAGCTGCCTTGGAAGTGGGGCATGACGTAGCGGGCCAGCAGCTCGTAGCTATGCAGGATCTTTTCTCTCGGGGCCCAGTCCTCTACCCGGATCATAAAGCTGCCAAAGCCCCCACTCATTTCCTGCAACCGGTTTATGCCCTCGATACAATCATCGGGCGTGCCAACGATCCACTGGTTGTTCTCGACCATGTAATCGACAATTTCGTCAGGGGGAACGTCGGGCGCCGGATTGCCGAGGGTTTTGGCAAAGTATTCGGTGACAACGCGGGCGCCGCCTTTGCGTATGTCCTCGAAGGCCTGTTCCTTGGTTTCGGCCAAGTGAACACCGGAGACGATGCCCCAGTCTTCCCTACGTACAGTATTGCCGTGCTCTGCAGCGGAGTCTTCGGCGATGGACCAAAGGTCTTGAAGGGTCGTCTTTCTTATAGTTCCACGCGGCACCGACATCGACAACACAGCAGCTCCATGCTTGCCGGCCAACGTTACTCCTGAAGGAGACTCCACAGATGCTACCGCCACCGGCACATGCGGCGACTGGTAGGGCCGCAGCTGGAGGACAGCGTCGTGAAGCTCGAACCAGTCGCTCTTGTAGGTAATTGGTTCGGTTTCTGTCATGAGCCGGATGATGATCCCCAAGGACTCGTCCATCATCTCCCGTTGGCGTCCCATGTCGATGCCAAACATATAGGCATCCGAGTTAAGCGCGCCGGTTCCCACACCAAGGATCACCCTGCCCCGGGTCAGGTGGTCCAGCAATACCATCCTGTTGGCCACCATGTAAGGGTGGTGGTACGGGAGGCTGATCACGCCTGTACCCAGCCTTATATGGCGGGTGCGTTCAGCAGCGGTGGCGATGAACACCTCGGGAGACGCGATGGTTTCCCAGCCGGCGCTGTGGTGTTCGCCGATGTAGGCTTCGTCGAACCCTAGTACGTCTAGCCACTGGATCAGCTCAAGGTCCCTGTCCAGGGCCAACGTGGGGTTTTCGTTCGTTCTATGGAAGGGGGCCATGAAAACCCCGAATTTCATCTTGTTGTTTGGGTCCATCTTAGTCCTCCCGTTAAACTAATACGCTGATACAACCGGAACACTTATTGGGATGTTCAAGACTGCGCGTATCTCGTCCCATTAAACAATGGGGCTACGATAAACAATGGGGCTACGATTGGCAGGGAATCGTGCGTGCCTGTACCGAGCGCAACGTTGCCACATTTTAACATGGGAGGGTATCTTTAGCTATAAGAGCCAAGGCTCGGCGGAAGGGGACGAAAGCGGGGCAGTAGTTTAACGAACCGCCTCCCGCTCATGTTGACTCCCGGGACTAACGACGGAGCCAACAAACGTACTCAAATGCCGGGGTTGGCGCAGCCCCGACATTCCCCTTTATTTTAGGCCAGCCGCGTGTGCCGAAGACGGCGGAGAGGACCGGTGCTCACCAGAGTGGCGCCAAGCCCCACTTGAGACATTACCCAATGTGGCTTGGGGTAGCGCGGCATAGGGGAAAGTGGTATGTTGAGTGCACTATCGGAGGGTACAAATTCTACTTGCAAGAGGTAGGCTAATGGCACAGATCAAGCATATCGCTATCGCCACTAACGACGCGGAAAAGACGGCCAAGTTTTATTCCGAGGTGTTCGGACTTCGTCAAGTCGCTCAATTGGACGGGGAAAACGCCAAAGGTTTCATGCTGAGCGACGGCAACATCAACATGGCTATCCTGGACTTCAGGTCTGATGCGGTCGCCGGAGAGCGGGGCAAGGACTGGGAAGGCATCCATCACATTGGCTTCGAGGTAGAGAGCCTAGAGGACATCGAGAGGCGGTTGGCTGACGCCAACTCCAAGCCGATGGAAGAGGTCAATACTGCCCTGCACGCCGGCAACACCGGCCCCCGCCATCAGAACGTCGAAACCAAGTACGAAGGCCCCAATGGCGAGATGATCGACGTCTCCCAGGTCGGTTGGGTGGGCACGCGGGGTCTTGACTAGGCAATACGCCCGAAATCGGGCATTACACCATGACAACGGTGCAAAAGCATGCTCAAACTGCCCGGGAGTTTCTGATTGCTGCCGGGCGAGAGTTTGAGGCGGACGACAACCTACAAGGGTCGGAGAATATGTGGGGCGCAGCCGCCCATGCGACTATAGCGGTGGCTCTGCAGCGAGGTTGGTCTTGCGGCAACCATTATGCGATTAAATCCGCAGCGGACCGGATCGCCGCCGAGATGAGCGACCTTTCGTTAACGGGGGGATTCTTCGCGGCGGAACAATTTCACGCTAATTTCTATCATGACTTCCTGGAAGACGGCGATATTCAGCGAGGGCGTCCCTTGGTGGATGACTTCGTCGACCGGGTGTTGAGTTTGATTTGACATCCGAAAGACCTTCAGGAAATGAATACGCCCGGCCATGTGCCGGGCGTATTTTCGTTCAGTTCGGAAACGTTATTCTATAACGGAGAACTTGGCGGCTTGGGTCATTTCGTATTTTCGAGGCTTCGTCCCGGTTGATGCAACGCCTCTCGCCTCAAGCAGCGGCCAAATGTTGTTAGCAATATAAACCCCAAATGCAGCCCCAGTTTGCTTTGCCGCGGGGGATTGCGGGAATCTCTGCTTTACTATCTGGTGACACTCGGCGCTCTTGAATGGCCCAACAGGTACTTCTTTGAGTATAGCTTCAGCTATAAATTGATCCGGTATAAGTTCGTCTGGTACAAGCTCATCCGTCATAAGTTCATCCGGCGCCACCACTTTGGCGGGCTTGTTGGACTTGACTACCGGAGGCGCTGGGGGGGTTGACGGCTGAGGCACTTGGGACTGGGACGGCATTTGCACGACATGAAGATATTCCGACGGGAAAAATTGCCGGATGTACGGCGTTTTTGTCCCGGGGCGGTCCGTCAGTATCCAGAGAAAGGGAGCCCGGTTCGATGCTTTCCGGGTCTGCTTGGCTTCGGCCTTTACCTTGGCAAACAGGGCCATAAAGTCGCTGTCGTCGCTGAATACGGCCACATGGCTGATCCTGCTCCGGACCAAGTCCGTGACTGCGTCTACTGCAATGGCAATGTCGGCGGAATTCTTGGAGCCCTGCATGCTGAAGTGTTGAACACCTTTGACATCTACTTCAGCGTTCAGCGCCAAGGTCAGCGACCACATTTCCCACAACGCCACCAAGTCAGCCCTGACGTACAGGACTATCTTTGAGAGCTGCGGAACTCTGTCCGGCCAGTCTTCAACGAGGGAGCCAATCAGGTTCTGGGCGTCGTTTTGAAGATTATCGACGTCGATGTAGAGGCCGGAGGATTGGCTGGCTTCCGATTTCGGCATGTGGAATCTGAGCTATCTCAAGCGTGTATTAGTTTTCGTGAAGTTCGGGAAGGTAATACGTCCACATAGCTGTACTCGTGGCTCCAGGTTTCAATAACGCCGAATGGTTAAGGTCTATGCTGAGCGCGGCACGGTCTCGCTATGTTGCAAGCGGGCTGAAAGGACCGGCGCCAGCAACTCAGTAGCGTGCTCCAATGTGAACCCGACCACGCCACCTTCCTGATCAAAATCGGCAGTCAGATTGTCGGCAACGTCGTCCCCGTCGCTGGCTGCTCGGCCGTTCCAGAGTGATAAGGTATCCGTTGCCGGGTCGTAGTATATGCTGAGTTTCATGGGTGCCCCCCATTTGCGCAATTTCCCCCTGTCGAACACCCGGTTATGCACTTTTCCGTCCGCCACCACTACCCGCAGCCACTTTCCAGCCTCGGCAATGTAACCGAAGTATCGCACTCTGCCATCGGGCTGGAGTTCCTGACTCTGTGGAATGGACAATACACGCTCTACCCATTCGTCTGCGATACCGGGATGTTTGCGCCTCGCTTCCCTTTCGTAGTAATCGGTGGTTTCCATCAAGTCAAGTTATATAGTGAGGCACATGACACCTGAATGTATACATAACCACTGTTGCCGAGCTGCCAATTCGGGCCAACGAGGATGATTTCCTATGGAGGGAAGGCGACAGTCTAAGCCGGTCTGAACGTTGGCGTCGGGTGCTCCGCATCGATATCTTCCAAATCGAGCACCATGTCGATGCCGGGCTTGATATTTTGCGGGTTTTGGGCGTCGACGCCGGTGATGCGGGCACTGATTCGGGGACCTTCCTCCAAGGTAACGATACCCGTGCAGTAAGGGTTGTCGCGGCCATAGCCCTTGTTGGCCATACTTACCGGCACGATGGAAATGGAGGTGAATGTGCTGAGGGTGGCCTTGCCGCTGAACTCGTGCCACTCCATGTCCCTGCCGTGGCATGAGCGGCACATGGGCCGTGGTTCAGGCGAAAGGACGCCGCAACTCCGGCATCGCACACCCACCAGTTTCTTGTCTTCCACTATGTAGGCGTTAAAGGACCCGGCAGTGAAATTGGTGTTTTCGTCCCGGCTTTGCTGCGTCATATCTTCATCACCCTCTTTGCAGGATACTCACGACGCAGGTGCCGCCGGTGCCACCCACGTTGTGGGTAAGCCCCAACTCCAGGTTGGGATTGGCGACTTGCCGTGGTCCGGCTTCTCCTCTGAGTTGGTGGAAAATCTCGCCTACCTGGGCGATGCCGGAAGCTCCCACAGGGTGTCCCTTGGCCTTGAGGCCTCCTGAAGTGTTTATCGGCTTATCTCCGGTTAAGGAAGTCCTGCCTTCATCCACGGCCCGAGGACCTTCTCCGGGTGAGAAGAATCCCAGGTCCTCCGCGGCGACAATTTCCGCTATGGTGAAGCAATCGTGCACCTCGGCCAACTGGATGTCATCAGGAGTCACATCGGCCATCTCGTAGGCCCTTGAAGCGGCGATCTTCGCCGCTGACAGGGAGGTAAGTTCATCCGCATCGTGCAAAGGGCGGCCCGAAGCTTGGCCGGTGCCGATGACGTGCACCGGCTTGTCTGTGAAGTTGTGGGCCAATTCTGAGGCTACCAGCAGCACACAAGCGGCGCCGTCGGTGATGGGGGCGCAGTCGTACAGCCGCAACGGCCAAGCAATCCACGGGTTGGCTTGAGGATCGTTGAGGAAGTCCATTTCGTCTTTGTATTCGGGTACGGGGAGCCCGCGCTGTTGGGCCCGGGCCACGCGCCGGTCTGCCAGACTTTGGATGGTGACGTTGAACTGGGCCTTGGGGTTCAAAGCGCCGTTCTCATGGTTCTTGATGGCCACCTTCAACAGGTGGTCCAGGTTCGTCTCATACCGGTCCATGTGGGCGGTGGCGATAGCGCCGAAAATGCCCGGGAAGTCAGCCCGGCAGGGACTTCGTACAAGCCGTCCGCGGCGGTGGCCAATACGTCGGTGACACCCTCAGTGGGCAGGTTGGTCATTTTTTCCATGCCACCCACCAGCACGATGTCGTACAGGCCGGACGCTATGGCCATGATACCTTCACGCATCGCGCTGCTGCTGCTGGCGCAGGCGTTCTCGATACGGGTGACCGGCACAGGAGTCATGCCCAGCCAGTCGGCGATGATGGGGGCAGTGTGACCTTGGTGCTCAAAGAGGTCAGAGGAGTAGTTGCCCACGTAGGCGCACTCTATGTCCTGAACATCCATGCCTTGATCCAAGTGGTCAAGCATGTCCTGGAACGCCTCTACAAACAGGTCACGGCTGTCTTTGCCTGGGAAAGCGCCGAATTGGGACATGCCGGCGCCCACTATGGAGACCGGGCGGCCTAGCTGGCGTGGCTTGGTTGATGATGCCATTTTTCGCTCCTTAGAAAAATTGTTAACGGAGATTAACCTTGAGAGCGCGTCTGTTCGCACTTCTCCAAGCTGTCCGTTTTATCGTCGTAAGAATATTCCTTGCATAGAGAGGCTATCTGCGCCCGCACAATGCCTGGACTTATTTTCCCGATGTCCTTCTTTCCCAAGTCAACGTATTCGGACCTCATTATAGACGAGATGACGCCGGGCCCGGGCATGGGGTGGTCAATTTCTTTGCAAGTCTCCAGCCACAATGCGATGGCGCACTGAGCGTTGGCCAGCGCCTCTTCGTGGGTGTCGCCATGGGCCGTACAACCCGGCAATTCCGGCACATCGGCAACAAACACCTGGTCGCCGGGATACCCGCTCCAAGAAATGATGACTGCGTATTTGTGCATATCATTCTTCCCCGATGCCGTTTTCCTTGAGAAGTCTTCTCACTTGCTGTGCTTGGTGTGCTTTGACTTGGCCGCTTCTGGGCTGAAGGTTTATCAGCCCTGGAATTCCTCTCTTGGTAAATATGTGATGGCTGCCGTTGATTCTTTCCTCAAACCCTAACCGTATGAGCAAACTGCGAAGGTCGTTGAACCGGATATTGTTGTCGGATTGCCCTGAGAGTATCCGATGGAGCAGCCGGTCACTGCTGGAGTCCGGTCGCATAACGGCTCATTGCTGAATTATCTGGCTGGACGTAAAGGGCGTCAACCAAGGCAACCGTGCGGTGCACGTCCCGCTACACTCCTCGAATAACACCCTCGCACATCTCGGCGCCCTGAACGACTTCGGGTATGACGGCGATCTCGCGGGTGGTGTGGAACGATTGGACGCCTATGCCCACCGGGAGGGCCACAATCCCGTTCTCATAAAAGACGTTGGCGTCGGACCCGCCTCCGGTGGCTTCCAGCCGGGGTTCCATTCCGATGTTGGCCAGTGCCCGGCACAGAACGGCTACGGCGGGGTGAGACGCTTCGACGTTGTAGGACCGGTAAGTGTTGCGGATGTCCAAGCTGATCGCCGCGTCGGGATGTCTGATTCCGACTTCGTCAAAAACGCGCCTGAACTCCGACGAGTAATGGTCCAGCTTGTTGTTGTCCCGGCTGCGCACTTCGCCGTCGAGGAAAGCCTCTTCCGGGATGATGTTGCGTTTCAGTCCGCCTTCGACGCGTCCAATGTTGGCGGTGGTCTCGCTGTCGATCCGGCCCAGCGGCAATTGAGTCAATATTTCGGCGGCGATGATGACGGCGGAGAGGCCCTTTTCCGGTTCTACTCCGGCGTGGGCTGCCCTGCCCCGGATGTGGGCGGTGATCACGTTTTGGGACGGGCCGGCCACGGAGATGCGGTTCACCGATCCCTCTCCGTCAAATACCACTCCTGTCTTGGCGGTCAACCGCTGGAAGTCCAAGTGGTGCACCCCCACCAAGCCGCCTTCCTCAGCCCTGGTGAAAGCTACCTCGATAGGGCGGTGGCCGGAGCCCGACTCGATCACCGACGTCAATGCCTCGAGTACGATAGACAGGCCGGCCTTGCAGTCGCCGCCCAGGATGGTTGTCCCGTCGGACCTGAGTACGTCGCCGTCCAGCACCGGCTTGATGCCCCGGCCAGGTTCCACGGTGTCCATGTGGGCCGACAGCAGGAGCGGTTCTCCTTGGCCCGGCAGCGTGGCGATTATGTTCTTGAAGCCGTCATGGTGGACGTGGAAACCCAACGACTCCAGCCGTTTGGTGATCTCGCGGTCTATCTCGTCCTCTTCACCAGTGGGGCTGTCGATGCGGATAAGATCGGTGAGTGTTTTTAGAAGCCTTTCTCGGTCAGCCAATTGCACATCTCCGGGGAATGAATTAGGGCAACGCGGCGACGCACTTGATTTCCAACAGGAATTCCTCCTTTACCAGCCCGGATATGACGAGGAGGGTATTCGGAGGATAGTCGGCGTCGGGGAACAGGCCCGGGTAAATTTCGGTGCGGGCCGCAATGTACGGCTCGATGTTCTCCTTGCCCACCAAGTAGGTGGTGAACTCGACTACGTTGCTGAAACCGGCGCCCGCTCCGGCCAGTATGTCTCCAATGTTTTTGAAGGTCTGCCGGGTCTGCGCCCTGATGTCCCCCGGCTCAGCCAAGTTCCCGTCCGCGTCGATCCCCACTTGGCCGGCGACGTAGAGCAAGCTGCCCGACGAAACCTTCATGGCTTGAGAGTAAAGCCCCAAGGGCGCGGGAGCGCCTTCCGGGTTAAGCGGGGTCCTTTGTAGATTCGGCATTATTTCAATCTCCGGCGTATATTCGCGGCAAGCCTTGGCTCGGCTGCCGCGCCAGCACCCATTATAGGCCACCTTCGGCCAATCTCACACCTTGGATTCAGGTTGACGGCGGTAAAGTGCGCCCCTTCCAACCGCCGCCCCGGCCGCGCCAGAATTGCCACGCCGAATGGATGGTCATCAACGTGTAGACACCAGCAATAACGGGCAGCATCAAGACCAGTGCAGGAGAAGCCCGGTACCACCGCAACGTAGGCAGGTAGGACGTGCTCATCAATGCCAATCCCGCTGCCCCCGCGGCCAGCAACCACAGACCAGCTACGGCATCGTCGCCGAAGGCCAACAGGAACAAGCCGCCGACAGCCCCGCCAGGGACGACCAAAAGCCCAGCAGCATTCCCAGCACGGTAGCCGCCAATAGAATCGCGGAGTGGTCCAGTTGGGTAAAGGCGGTGCGGGATACCGTTTCCCAGACCCCTTTCAGCCCTCCGTAGGGACGTACACTGACGACTTCGCGGCTCAACCCCAACCATATCTTTCCTGAAGTTGGCCCACCGTCCGGCTTACCGGCTGTTCCGAGCTGATTTTTTGATCAACTTGGCCAGCGAGCAGTCGTCAATAAGTTCTCCGGCTATCGCCGGCAGCCCACCTGCGCTCTCCAGGGTCGCGCTTCGGACGAGGCGACAACCCCCCGCGGCTGCGGCCACCGAACTGCGCGGGTTGTTGACCCACCGGAAGGGGTACAACAACATGAAGAAATAGACGAAGGCCGGAACGAGCAGCCTTTCCCAAATCGTCAGAATCTTAAGCAACGCCATCACCGATACCAAGTGCAAACCGTCACCCACGGCTTTCTTGACCAATGCTTGGAGCACGCCGGGAGCCAGAGCGATGTCGGCATCCACGAACAGGAGATATTCGGATTGCGCTGTAGACGCGGCTTGGACTCCTTGCTGAAGGGCCCAGAGCTTGCCAGTCCAACCTGGCGTCAAGGGATCTGCCATGACCACGCTCAATCGCTCTTCCGTTTCCAGGTCTCGAGCTACTCGACGCGCGACCTCAGCAGTGCCGTCGGTGTTGGAATCGTCCACCAGCCAAACGTGGAACCAGCCGCTGTAGTCCTGTAAAAGCAATTGCGGCAGCGTCTCACAAGTAGCCCGGCTTCGTCGTTGCGGGCAGACCAGGGCCACAGAATGGAAGGCTTAAACCCGAATCCCCAATCCCCGCAAGGCTGTGGGGCACCCGTTCTGCGCTGCCCGGTGTGCCAAAAGAAGCCGCGTCCCAAGAAAAGATATACCCATGCGGCTAACGACAGGTTGGCCAAGGCCAATAGGATTAAAGCAATTTGGACAGATGGCTAACTGAGATATATGAGCGTCCTGCGGCGAAGTGTACCCACCTCCCTGCGGTGGTATACTCGCCGGTATGATGCCTGACTTTACGGTGCCCCGGGTTGGCGTGGGCGTGGTGTTCCTGCGAGACAACCGGGTCTTCCTGGCCAAACGCCACGGTTCTCATGGCGAAGCTACTTGGGCCTCGGCAGGCGGACACCTGGAGTTGGGAGAAAGCTTGGAGGAATGCGCCCGCAGGGAGGCCCTGGAGGAGTTGGGACTGGTGGTCGGAGACCTCCGTTTCCTGTGCGTCAGCAACATCATCGCCTATGACAGGCATTATCTGGACATCGAGTTCCTGGGAGACATTGGGGACCAGGAACCAGTGCTGGCCGAGGTGACGCCTTCACCGAGTTTGGTTGGTTCCCATTGGATAATCTCCCCCAGCCCATTTTCCTGCCGATGCAGTACGCTCTGGACAGCGTTCGCACCGAACAAGTCTACTACCCTGGCTCCTGAAACTGCGGCGTCACGCCTCGTAAGACGCCGGTTCAAACCAGGTAAACGGAGAGTGAATGATGGCAGCTAAGAAAGGACGTGGCCTGATGGCAGTATTTGCCGACGTGCCAGCCCAATACGAAGAAGAATTCAACCGGTGGTATGACGAAGAACATATACCGGAAAGGCTGTCGATTCCGGGCGTGTTAAGCGCCTCAACT